TTGGATGGTAACCCCGGCCATTTCTTCCTCACGGGGTAGTTTGGAAGCACAATAAAGAGAAAAGCCACAATTTGACTGAGGTCGCAAGAGCATGTCACATCAAACCTAAAATTATTATCATTATTATTATCAAACGGGACCTCCGTCCTAGGAAACAGACCCCTCCAAAACAGTGAAACTAGTGAATACAATAACTACAGTGCAGACAGCAAATTAATTTATCAAGCAGGTAGTGAAAGCAGTGATAGTAGTGTAAACATACGACAACAGTGGTGAACACCATTTTGTGTTTCACTGTACCAAAGAGCATAGACAAGGGTAGTATTGTATGAATATGTTGAAGAACTGTAGTCCTGAAGAAATTAATCATGCCTACGGTATCATTCAAAACTGACCAGACTTTAATTTAGAGTTTGAAACTACAAAGCTAGACATCCCCACCACAAATTGATCGCCACCCAAAAAAACATATTTTACCATCTGTGAATTTCTTCCACAAAGATAAAGGTGGGTCCTTCACAATCAGGACGATGTGAAGCGATGATGTGGTAGCCTAGGTAGTACTAAGTACTCGCATGCTTCTTCGCTTTCAGCTGCCACCGCTGGCTAACCTAGTGGGAATAAGGGAGCAACTCTGGATAAGTCTCTCCTACCAGTTCATAGCCTCTCCATCACTGAGACTTCTCCTTGTGGCAACCTATGGAAACCGGGTACCTTGCGGTCCCAGGCTAAGCTGTGGGGGATCTCGGAGCAGCAGGAAGCCCCAGAGGTACAGGATCATGGCCCACCAGAGTGTGGACATACCCTGGCTGTGTACCAACTCCTGTCCCTCAGCTCTCTGGGAGAGGGGAACTGCCCCTCTCATCCAGCAAGTGATGTTCCCATCCTCTGCTGGGGCAGAGGATGGGAACGGGAGCTACTCGTCCCGCCTGCGTTCTGACAGCCGCCAACCCAGTGTGAAGCCTGTGGGCAAAGCCCAAGGGAACCCCACAGGTGCATGTTGGATCCAGCAGCCTGCTGCCCCCCTTTATATCATCATCATCATCAACATCAGCAGTTGGCAGAGGTAGCATTCACCCAGAGTACCTACCAGAGGCTAAACCTTAGGCGTGACGTCAGGGCGGGGGCTTGGAACGTCCGTTCTTTGCATCAGGATGATCATTTGCCTCTACTGTTGACAGGTTTAGAGTTGAGGTTGCTGCTCTCTCGGAGGTAAGAAGGCCTGGCAGCTGCACGATTAGTGTAAGGGGCTATACCTATTACTGGTCAGGTCCTAGCAATGGCCACCATCTTCAGGGAGTAGCCATAGCCATCTCTAGCAGACTTCAGCCCTCGGTATTAGAGGTTACTCCAGGCAATAAGCGTATAATGGTATTAAGACTGAAACTTGCATTTGACTCCATGTCTCTTATTGATGTGTACGCTCTCCCTCATGTTTGTAAACTCGACGTCAAGAATCGATTTTTGAATGCCCAAGAGCAAGAAAGAATTTCATCTTGCAGGAGATACTGGAAGCTAAAGATGTTTGTGCAGCTTGTCTGACGGGATCGAAATTTGCATCGTTCTTAGGTGTGCAGAATTAGGCACTTTTGAGACGGGACAAGGAACTTTATTAGGAGTCTTACAGAGGAGATCGAAGGCCATTTCTTAGTAAATGACTTTCGCCATGCCTACTAAGCCCTGAGAAAGCTGAACTCCAAGCCCTCTGCACAGATAACTGCAGTCCGCTCAGCAAGTGGCCAGATCATCTCAGATTCTGTAGCGGTGCGGGAGCGTTGTGCCGAGTATTTTGAGCAGTTGTACCAGGTTGATCCACCAACAGTTAATTTGGATGCGGGTAATGTCGAGATTCCGTTGCCATAACCCTAGCTGATGTTAAGGGGGCGGTCTCCAAGCTGAAGAGTGGTAAAGCAGCGGGTATCTACGGCATCTCAGCTGTTAAAAGCTGGTTGTGAACGTATGGTGCAGAGGTTGCATGCAGTCCTGGCTGCCGTCTGGCAGTCTGGTATCATTCTGCCTGATCTGTTGAGGGGTGTGGTCATTTCTCTCTGGGAAGGGAAAGGGGATCAATGGGACTGCATCAAAAGCATCAAACTGCTCGGTATACCAGGCAAGGTTCTCGCTCACATCCTTCTGAGATGTATCAGAGACCACCTAGTAGAGCGTCGCCGTGAATGTGGGCGTGGGCTGCTTGCAGCCTACAGCGACCTAAAAAGGCGTACGATGCGGTACATCGGGAATCGCTCTGTGGTGGGGGCCTATCAAGCTTCTTTCCTGTTAGTTCAGGAGTGAGGCAAGGCTGTATCCTTGCACCAACACCTTTCAGCACTTGCATGGACTGAATTCTGGGCATAGATACTGTCCAAGGTCATTGTGGAGCAACTTTGGGCAATATCAAGGTTACTGACCTTGACTTTGCTGATGCTGTTGCTATTCTATCTGAGTCTTTGGAAACCCTCGTGGTGACTCTGCATTTAGCAATTAAGTGATGCCCCTGGTCCTAGAGGTCTCTTGGACCAAGACCATGATCCAGGACTTTGGGGACTTGCTAGGAGAACCTGTTTGGTCGGGTACGTGCTTGCGGCACTGAAGTCACAGAGAGTTTTACATAACTTGGTAGTGTAGTTCATACTTCTGGGCTGTCAGACCAGGAAGTCAGAAGACGTAATGGCCTGGCAGCAAGGGTCATGAATTGCCTCGACAAGAGCATTTGGTGATGCCGGTATCTGTGCAGAAGGATCAAGCTACGTGTTTTAAAGGCCCTGATAATGCTAGTTTTACTATACGGTAGGAAATCC